ATTGGCGTAATATTTACCTATTATTTTCAAATTTTTAGAGGCGTAATATTTATCTACCATTTTCATATTTCTAGTCAAATAATAATTTTTCTGAAACTCCTTGTCCAACATGGAGTAAGAAAGTGTAAGCTTGTCTAACGAGATGGAGTCTTCGCCATCAAGCGGTAACAACTTTTAAGAAGTTAGAAGAACCGATTATTAATGCTATTACTGAAATATCACAATGGCCTAAAAGAAATATGTCCTCAGAAGCAAAATTATTGGATTCAATACTTATTTCAATTTTTTTTTCATTAGAATGTATTATTTAATTATACAACTATTTTATGTAATACTTTTCAAAAACATGGCATTGACTTGTTAAGTAGATGAGAATAGTGGAGAGCATTTTATTAGAACTTAAGGAAATTCGGGCTAATGTTGATAAAGAATTTTAATATGTTATTGTTGAATCAAAAGGAGAGTGTTTAATATTTGTCTCCCTCGGCATGCAGCAAGGCAAGCTCATCATCAAAACATTAGTATAAGATTAGTAAAGTATTATAAAACTATAATCCAAATAAATGAATGTTTGTAATTCATTATGCAGCACTTACCAATCTGCAGATATTACTTCCACAAAATCCCAATCTTTTTCAGATGGTGATAGAAAAAAATAATATTTGTTTGATGCCTTATTAGTTGAATAACTATTTTTAAAAGATAAACTAAAATATAGTCCTAAAAAATGCTATGGATGATTTGTATAATTTCAAACACATTTTAGATTATATTCCCAATGTATTAAAATGTATATAATATATATTAGCAACTCTTCCCATTAGTAAACTAATGAGAGAACATTCTCTTTTTTAAGAAGAATAACCTAGCCCTGCAGAAGTACCATTTGCAGGGCACGGCCTGGATTTTTTTTCAAAATCTTATTCGGCCTGGCCCGGGGTTTTTTTAAAAAGAAATTTTCAGGATTGGCCCGGCTTTTTTTTAAATAAAATTTTAGGGCCAGCCCGGATATTTTAAAATAAATTATATTTATTTTTGATTTTTATAGCTAATTTCAAATATTTGATTTTAAAATATACAGCCGGAAATTATATTTATTTTTGATTTTTATAGCTAATAATAACGATTTCAAATATAGGCTTTAAAATATACAGCCCGCCCCGGATATTGTTTTTAAAAAAAATTTCAGGCCCAGCCTGGGTGTTTTTTAAAAAAAATTAAGGCCGGTGTTTTTTTAAAAAAATTTTCAGGCCCAGCCCGGGTGTTTTTTTAAAAAAAATTTCAGGCCCAGCCCGGGTTATTTTTAAAAAAAATTCAGGCCCAGTATATTTAAAAAATTAAAATACGGTCCGGCCCGGGAACCGGGCCTGCAGTTCTCTGAAAAACATACCTAAGAAGTACAACTTCTGAAAGTGGATTGAATAGTTTGGATCTTTTAAATATTTATAGGCATTTGACGCCAAGCAAGGATGAGTAATTGAAAAATTAGCTCAATCCCAACGAAGATTGGATTTTACATTGTAAATATAATACAAAATACAATTATTCCTAAGAAACTTTTTGTGTATTAATATTTATATTTCCAACATTTTTTTTTACTTTATAAGGCTCAAAAAATTCAAATTTTTATTTTGGGTCATTTAAGTGATTCATAAGGTGGTTATATTCACTTTATATTTTTTAATTCACATTTATTTAGTTTTTTATGTGCCGGTTTATATATATAATTTTTTTATAATTCATATAATTTAAAATTGTGTCTTAGAAATAGTTATTAGTCCTAATAAATTTATGCTTGATACTTTAAATAATAATAATATTTCTTTAAAAAATTTATTATCCCCCCTTCCCCCCCCCAGACCAAATTCCTGCGTACGCGCCTGGCTAATATCATAAAATGAGTCCGCAAAGTTAATATTAAGTTAATATATAACAAAAAAGAAATATATATATAAAAAAATTAATCAGGTCATCTCAACACAAACATCAAAAATGCTCGGTTGTGTTTTGATAAAAATTTTATCATCTTTTGCTATACATTTTTTTAAAAATTTAACTATTTTTAACAGAGAACAAAGTCTAAGGAAAGAATATTTAGAAGATAGATTTCTAAAGATTTCAATGTTGGCTGGTTTTCTGTAAGAGAATAAATGGTAATATAAAGGAAATTATAAATACTAGACGTTTAATATAAAATCACGATCTCAATAAAAAAGTTTCACTTATTTTCAATAATACACATTCTGAACAGAAATCTATGCTAATCGAACGTTTTAGTGATTGCACTTGTCTTCGTAGAAAAGTTATTCTATGAGAAGGCCATATTTGACAAATAAAGATTAAACTAAATGAATAAACATATTAATTTAACAATATAGAAGTCGTAAAATACCAATAATGAATAGAAGTCTAATCGTAATTTATATAGCGTTAAGAATGAAATCATTCAAAAAGCAATCAAAAGCATTTTATCCTAATTGACTTTTTTTCGTAACGTATTTTAATTATGTCATTTTGATTTTTATCTAAATCATGATTGGGAATAAGTTTTTGAGCGAAAACCAATTATTATATGGTGTATTGGGATATGGATTCTATATAATTTAAACCTTTTACTGTGGGCGATTTTAAAAATCTGATTTGACCGGAAATATATTTCAGCGTTGTTAAACGGTTCGATTTAAGCCGATTTTTAAAAACGGCTAACTCTATATTTTAGCCATCAAAAGTATTGACTTAAGCCTCAAGATTTGGCTATAATGTCCAAACCTTTGTACCATGTATTAGCAAAATCTTCAAGCTTGCCTACTTTTTGGAGAAAATATTGAGTTAACCATTTTAAAAAATAGCGGCTTAAATTAAACCGTTTAACAACACTAATATATAGAGTACCTACACTGTAAATTTCAGACAATCTTGACAAAAATGGTTGAAGTACGTTTAATTTATATCCGTTTTTTATAGACTTTTACATACAAATGGAAAAATACACATAAATTTTATAGGGTAGGTAGTCTAGTTAGGTTGATATGCATTTTCGATGAAATAAGATTGTTTTCCAAATTTAAAAATCGCCGCCAGTAAATGATATAGATTTGAAGTTCTGAACCCCTATGGATTCTATATCTCAATGACTTATATAAAAATATTTAAAATAATTATTGAATTTTTTTTTGGGTTGGATCATTACCCTGTATTTATAGTTAGCGCCAATTCTCGGAGAAATATATAAAAATATGATACAAATTAATAAATTGTGAATTCAAAAGGAAGCCTTTAGATGCTTCCAACCTTTCATCTTTTTAATATATATTTTTCTTACATTTCACTTATTCTTTTATGAGACTATTTTTAAAATTTTATTTTAAATTACACAAACTATTTTTATCAATGTTGCATTTTACTCAAAAATATCTTTTCATATGGTGTAGATGTTAATATTTAAAATTTTTAAAAACTTTACAAGGTGATATATATAATATACAAATCGTTCTTGTGTGACTTCTAGAACTATCAACTTCCGCTAAATTTTATTTTATAACTATGGCTTTAAAGAACATGTATACAAAATTTTAAATTATGAGCCTTTATATCTTTTAAAGCAAATAAGCTAGAGGATTTTTATCATTTTTGGATAAAAAAAAATTTTGGCAAAATTATTTTTAAAAAATGAAAATAGATAAGAAATTAGATAAAAAAATACATCTTCACAAACAAATTTAGGGTCTTTTTGCTCAAGGGTTAAAAATTTATTCGGGTTAACATTGTTACCTCGTCAATAACTTTGCACCGATTACTGGGGAAATAAATAACATCCTTAAAATAAAAGTGAAATATTCCAAAATTTTGCTAGAATATTCTATAGATATTACAATAATTTAAGTTTTTATTTATAATTCAATATAGGTTTCGTATAAAAAAAGGAAGAAAAATTCTATATAATATAATTTAATTATCTTGATTTTTGTTTTTTGTGTAAAATATTTATCAAATGGAGGAACATAAAAAAGGGTGCATGTAAATATAGTTTAAATTTTTTTTGTATAAAGTAAAAGAAATATAAAATAATATTTTTTTAAAAAAAAAAATTCTTTGTCTATAACATTTATGAATCAATTTCTGAGGTTAAGATATGAGGAGTTGTCTTAAATGCAAAAATAAATAAGAATTTTTTTAAAAAAAAACATTCAAAAATATTTTCAGGTAATTTTGGCATTAAAATAAGAGGCCTATAATATGCTCAACTTAACTCGATAGGTCTCATGTGGTTATAATGGTTTAAAATCGTTACAAATGTATAAAAAAATAAAGGGTGGTGTTTCCAGGTTACAACGGCAATTAAATATAGAAAGAATACAAAGGGTAGTCTTTCTATTGATTCTTCGTTCAATGACAATTTCGAGGTTTACCCAGCTCTCTGATTTTTCTTTTCTATTTTTCACGGTCCTAAGCATCATTTGTAATTCATTTTCCTCATATTCGCCGCTATCATCTTTATCCATGTCATCTTAGGCCTTAGGGCTTGATCCTCATACTTCCATCAAGGCGCATCTCTTTACGCAGTCATCATATCTAACTGCAAATATGAATAGCATTTAATAGTGCGATTTATAAAGCTTTATATTATATTATTTTAACACGACATCATATTTTACAAAATATTAAGAAGTTAAGATGAAATTCACAAAATATTAAGAAGTTAAGATGAAAAAAAATGATAAGTGAATTATTAAAAATAATCTTTTTTTTAAAAAAAATATTTTAAATTGAGGTTAATAAGTTTTATAATATTATTTTTTAATAATAATACGTTTTGAAAAAAATTACAATAAGGCATATTTGGGGAAAAATAAATTTATAATATATTTTATTGTGTATATAATATATAAATTTAATTTATAGTACAAATAAATATTTTTTTTAAATTAAGGTAGTGTTTAAAATTAAAATGACAAGTAACATACGGTTTTGACAAGAGATTATTTGGCGATATAATCACACTATTTAAAAAAAAATGGCAATGGTGCATATCAAACAAAAATTAAACAAGAATTGTGTTTTTTTAGAGAGTCATCTAAACAAATATGATGTATATAACCTGTATAATTTAATTTTCGAAGGCGTTTCAAATGGGTGGGGTAAATATATCTATTTAAATCCAATATAATTATTTTTATACCTGGCAATATAAAATTATTTTAATCATTATAATATTTAAAGTGTATTTTTTTAAAAAATATGTTTGCTCCTTTTAATTTACCCGTTTGAAAATTTTTCTATAATTTTATAAATATTTTTTTCTTCGAGATTTTGTATTCCTCCTTTTTTGACATTATCTGCGCGCGCGTCGAGGAGGTATTTGTAGTTTTTCCTTTCACGAAAAACTATCATAGGATTCTTCGCAAAGAGTGGCCAAACTTTTCTTGACTCTCAGAGCGGTTAACCTTGCTGCGGGGTTATGATACCAACATTCTTTCATGATTTTGGCTATGGATTGTAATACCTGTTTTGATGTTTAAAATTGTCAAAATAATTAATAGTTTTTTTAAAAACAAATTTATTATTAAATAACACATGTATCATTTCGAATATCAATGAAACTTTATAGGTTCGAAGAAAGGATAAACTTAATTTGAAATGATTACAGGTTTGAAAACGATTTTAAGAGATAAAATGCTATATCAGGTATATACCTATAAAAATATAAATCGAATCGAATATCTGCATTATTCGTATTAATCGAATAATTCCTTATTTGTATTCGCACGAATAATAAAAATGCACGAATAATAAAAACATTATTCGATTTGATTCGGTGAATATTTGATTCGAAAATTAAATTATTTAAAAATAATTAAAGATTTTAAAGTATTTTTTAATGAATCTTTGAATGCATATTTTTTTTAACTTGTGATTTCATCTTAAATTTCTTGTGTACGAAAATTATAAAAGGCTTACTTCTAAAAGATTCTTTTACGAAACATATTTAGAATTTTAGGTAAAATTTAATCAAGAATATTTCTTCCTTGAAAAAATATTCAAAGATTTATGCTCAAAAGTTGTTCTTCTCAAACTCTTGAAAAATTAGATGATTAAAATTAAAAAAGTGATTTATAGATGTAGAAATAAAGTTTAAAAAAAATGTTTCGTAAGGAATATGTTAAATACTTACAAATAATTTTAAATATTTATGAATAAGTTTTAATATTTCCGAATAATGCAGAATATATATGATAAATTTTGAATAATATGAAAAAAAAAATCAAATTATAAGAATAATTTTGAATAACTCTATCGAAAAATTGATAAAAAATTATCTGATGAATAATATATTTTCATTATTCGCAATTCGATTCGAATTTACGAATCGAATAACTTTATTATTCGTATTTTTAAAATACGAATATAATATTGAATAATTTGTTCCAGGTATAATCAGGTATAACAAAATTTTTTAATGTAATAGGTTAGGTAAAGCCTTCGAGAGGACATATTTTATCGGCGATATCATCCATAGTGATCTATTCTAACCGGTGTCCAGGTTATATAAACTTTACCGTTTACGCTTAAATGAGAGCGATCACTTAGAATTCTCGAAGCTTAAAAAAACCTCTACCGTTTCAAATAATGTTTACGCGATTTTTTATGACTAATAAAATATCCTAGACGGAATTACTAATCTCAAGAATTACTTCGTTTTGACTCCATTGTGGGGGGATGGTTGGTCTTCTCCCTTCCGAACAAATGGTTCGCCTCATCTCTTCTATGGTGGGATCTGGTGGTACATAATCGAAATAAGCTAGTTGGAAGTCTTCGTGATAACCTTTTTTAATTATGATTTTTTTTTAAAATATTAATTAGGAAATCCAAAGAAATAGCACTTAGAGTTTAAAAAAAGATCATGCACTATTCACTCTTATTCTTCAAATAGTTTTTATTTATTAAGATAGAACAATTTTTTTGGGGTCTAGATCTCATTTAATGTTTCAACTCGCGATTGAACTTAGAAAATATCTAGAACCTATTACGAAACGTTCTAAACCACGAAGCTAAGCAAAAAAGAGATATTTTGAGGATCCATCTCGAGGCCGAGTGGTTAGATGTTCATTAAACCCTGCTCAGAGACTGTTTTTAATGGCTAAAATCTTGCAGCTAAGTCACTTTGGAGTGGTCTAGAGTTATTTGATTTACTAAAATTACCAATATTTGAAACCGTATAATTTCAAAAAAATATATTTAATGTTTAAAAATACGAGTGAAATAAAACAGATTAAAGGTGGGGGGCTCTCCATTTAACCGTTTAAGGGTTCACATTAGAGATCTGCAAAAGTAGGCCCGGCCTGTACTCGGCCCGAACGGGCTTCGGGCTGGGTCTTAATATTTTTTTAAAATATATCTAAATTTATCAATTTTATATTGAATTTTTTTATGTAAAATAAAAATATGTGATTTTATTTGTAGAAAGTAGACGCCATATAACATATATCGTTTATTTTGAGTAATTATAAGAATTAATTTCTATATTTAAATAAATTCGGGCCGGGCTGGGCTTGAAAAATTAGGCCCGATGCAGATCACTAGTTCACATAGCTTACCAAAAAAGGAAGCATGTAATTTTTTTAGAGAATGCCAAACCTTCAAAATCGCACCGTCTCAAGATCTCCCAAAAAACGAGACCGAGAGCATATATATCGGCTCTTTTGAGGGCTTCGAAATGGTTCGAAAAATTTGTCATATCCGATTTCCTCATTTCATTGTTGCTATATTTGTTGTCTGATCGTGTTTCAAAGTCGGAAGATTTTTGAATACACGCGGTGGACCCTTCTATAATTTCGGGGGCCATGTAGCGTTTCGTGCCGACCATTTGATAGGCGCCTTGATTGACTTTTATATATAAATGTAGTATTTAAAATGCCATATAGAAATTTTTTTTTAAAAAAAATGGTAGTTCTGCTTCCAATCAAGATAATTTTAGCCATAAAATAAATAAAAAAATTAATAAGTATTTCAAAGATTCCGTGAGTTAAGATAAGCCATTTGATTCGATTTCCCAAAGTAACAATATCGAAATATATGGTAAATAATATTAATTAGAAGTAGATAACAACATCAAAATGAACGTAAATTCATTTTTTTTTATTAACAATTTACGAAAAAATGACCTAATTTACAGGCGACTATATTATAAAACCATTTATATAACCACCAATTCATATTAAGGAAATTTTAAAAAATTTATTTGAATACTTTTAAGTTTTGAGGCGGCGACTATTTCATTTTGCGCAGAACAAGTTAGCGGTAAGTCAAGTTTATCAGCAGTAGAGTCGTAGCACACGGCAAGCCCTAGATCGGCCAAGCAGCAAGTTGTTCCGTCTCGTTTTACCAGGATGTTTTTGCACTTTAGATCCCTGTGGGCTATGGCTGGCTTACCTAGAATTATGTCATTACCATTACAAAAAATTAGTAATTAAGATAACTCCAAATTATGATAATATGATTTGTCGCGTTATTTGAAAGTTTAATAACAATTTATCAACCTTCAAATAAATAAGTCATCTGTCAAAAATTATAAATCGTCTGCTGAGTATTATAGTGTTCTATATCCATTTAAACAAAAAAAATATTTTGTATTTTAAAAAGATCACACTATAATAAATGCAAATAAAGGTTGATATTTTAATTGTTGATATGGAAATATACAGTAATGAAGTATTTATCGAGAAAAAAAATGCATTTTACAAAAATATGGCGAAATATAAAATTATATGATTGTTATTAAATATCTTTTTCAATTATTAAGTTTGACAAAATTGATAGATTCTACCCTAAAGGTTTGCAATAGACGAATTTTTAGCCCGCCCACCAATTCCCCGAGTTGGAGGGAGGGGGGTTCTAAAATATTTTAATCATTGAATGGTTGAATTTCTAATGTTGAGAGGAACAGACTTCTATTTATTAAAGATCATATTTTTTTTATTTCTTAATACTGCATATTTTATAAGTTTAATTTCAAAAATATAAAATAAATAAAAAAGAGCCAATCAAGCCAATTTAATAATTTTTAAACATTGGGCGGATGGGTTAAACAAAATTTTCAGATAAATAGGAAGGCAGTTGAATTTAAAAAAAGAACCATAGGTGATAGGCGGGTTAAAAAAAATTTAAAGCAACAAGTGGGAGTGCTTTTTGGCTAAAACTTTCTTATTACAAACCTCCATTTAACTCACCATTTATAAAATAACAATAAATAATTGATAACTTTCAAGTTAAGTTTTATACGTTATCTTATTTTTAAATAAAGTAGTCGCGCTAAATCCAAACCTCATACCCACATGTTGTATAAAAATATCGGTTATTGCTTAAGTCGAGGGGTATATTATTTTTTTTTATTTTATTTTGTTATTTTTTTTGTTATTTTTTTTATGTTATTTTTAAAATTAATATAGTATTATTTGGTGATAATTTTTTTTGTGATAAATTTTTAAAATATTGTTGCATATTTTTATTATTTAGTGATAATTTTTTTTTGTGATAAATTTTTAAAATAATGTAGCATATTTTTATTATTTGGTGATAAATTTTTAAATTAATATGTATTTTTTCTTTTAAGATATTTTAAAATATTTTTTTCTTTTTTAAAAATATTTCTTAATTCCTAGGGAGGGGAGGAGGGTAGAAGAATTGTGATGAGTCAATTTTATTCATTAAATTGAAATATAGTCTGATAATCTAAGCAATTTTAGGAAAATTAGCATAAAATCTTAAATTTTGTATTTATTAGGGGTAAAATAGACCCCATCTTTAAATTCTAAGTGATTTTTTTAACCTTTGTTGGGAAGGGTTAATTCGAAATAAATTGAAATATATTATTGAAATTTATACAAAATAAAAATATCGAAATATAGTAATAAACGAGTCAATTTTATTCATTAAATTGAAAAATTGTATTAAAATGTATACAGTCATTTATAAATAGAATAAAAAGATCAAAGCGATTTAATAATTTATGTTTTCTAAAATATCTATATTCAAGTAAATATTCATGAATATTCTCTCGATCCCCATGTCTTTTATAGTTTTCCTTAAGATCCCGCCACAGTCTTTCGACTTTTTGGGTGTGAATGGATCTATCATTTGGGTCAACGAAGTTTCGGGAATGATTGACCCTATAATGGAAATAATTTGTTTGATCCAACCGATTATATCTAAGATAAATAGATTTAAATATATTACTACTTTTGATTTACAGAAAAATATATTTACATACCCTAACCATGAGTCAGTCATTATCGTGGAATCTTGCATAACATTATCTTTAACCACACGCAGTGTGGTATCTTGATCCCTCGTTGTTGTTGCACTTAGAAATATTTCATCCGTCTCGCGACATATGCCACCGATGATCCATATAGCCTCGGAAATCAAATGCCGGCCACGATTATATTTACGCTTCCACACATGAGTTTCGTCTATTTCGATAACTCTGCCAGGCCCCCCGATCTTTGTATGATTCGAAGCTATATGGAACCCACATACCTTGCGAAATTTTTTAAACCTATATAAATTTAATATCAATTTTGCCTTAATAATCAATTAATCCCTTTAGGAATAGAGCATACTTGTTGCAATTCCATAATGCGGGTAGAAAAAAATAAGAATAGTTTGCGATATCGATGCAATAGATGTCGTAGATCATATTCGATATGGAAAGGTAATATTAATTTTATATCATAAATGACAAATTTTTAGATTCTATTTTTGAAGGGATTCAGGACGTTGGGAAATTTTTAAGACTAGTATACCTGTATATAAGTAGTAATTATTTAAAAAATATTAAAGAACAAAATTATTTTTAGGCCGTTATAAAATTTTAAGTGCTTCGAAGGAATTGGATTATCATAGGAATGCAATTTCTGGATGGTAATTTAAAGTAAAATATGGTTTTTATATTAAATTTATATAGGTTTAAAAAATTTCGCAAGGTATGTGGGTTCCATATAGCTTCGAATCATACAAAGATCGGGGGGCCTGGCAGAGTTATCGAAATAGACGAAACTCATGTGTGGAAGCGTAAATATAATCGTGGCCGGCATTTGATTTCCGAGGCTATATGGATCATCGGTGGCATATGTCGCGAGACGGATGAAATATTTCTAAGTGCAACAACAACGAGGGATCAAGATACCACACTGCGTGTGGTTAAAGATAATGTTATGCAAGATTCCACGATAATGACTGACTCATGGTTAGGGTATGTAAATATATTTTTCTGTAAATCAAAAGTAGTAATATATTTAAATCTATTTATCTTAGATATAATCGGTTGGATCAAACAAATTATTTCCATTATAGGGTCAATCATTCCCGAAACTTCGTTGACCCAAATGATAGATCCATTCACACCCAAAAAGTCGAAAGACTGTGGCGGGATCTTAAGGAAAACTATAAAAGACATGGGGATCGAGAGAATATTCATGAATATTTACTTGAATATAGATATTTTAGAAAACATAAATTATTAAATCGCTTTGATCTTTTTATTCTATTTATAAATGACTGTATACATTTTAATACAATTTTTCAATTTAATGAATAAAATTGACTCGTTTATTACTATATTTCGATATTTTTATTTTGTATAAATTTCAATAATATATTTCAATTTATTTCGAATTAACCCTTCCCAACAAAGGTTAAAAAAATCACTTAGAATTTAAAGATGGGGTCTATTTTACCCCTAATAAATACAAAATTTAAGATTTTATGCTAATTTTCCTAAAATTGCTTAGATTATCAGACTATATTTCAATTTAATGAATAAAATTGACTCATCACAATTCTTCTACCCTCCTCCCCTCCCTAGGAATTAAGAAATATTTTTAAAAAAGAAAAAATATTTTAAAATATCTTAAAAGAAAAAATACATATTAATTTAAAAATTTATCACCAAATAATAAAAATATGCTACATTATTTTAAAAATTTATCACAAAAAAAAATTATCACTAAATAATAAAAATATGCAACAATATTTTAAAAATTTATCACAAAAAAAATTATCACCAAATAATACTATATTAATTTAAAATAACATTTAAAAAAAACATAAAAAAATAACAAAAAAAATATAACAAAAAAATAAAATAAAAATAATATACCCCTCGACTTAAGCAATAACCAAAATATCTTTCCGTGATTTTCTTTTTTTTTGAGTTCATATTATATAAAAAAAATTAAACATTCACTGGGAACTGTGGTGCCAATCAAGAGTACCCGAATGGATTTTTTTTTAAAAAATGGCATAAAATTTAGGACATTGTATAATATAATGCGATGAAGCATCTAAAAACATTAAATCGTAAAATAAGGTAAATAAAATATTTAAAAAATGATTATAATGGCCATAGGTTTTAAGATGTTTTTCCTATTTGCAAAAGGGTTAATCTTTGTTTTCGTAGCATGAGCTCTCCAAAGTCTTCTATCAAACGATTTAGCCTATTTTTAAACCGGCTAAGTCAAGATTTTAACTAAAAAAATATTACCAAGGCCTCAAGATATCAACAAATGAAAATCGAATGTTTTTAATAACATTCTGATACATTTATGTTAATTGGTTGGAAATCTTTTTTCATCATCTCCCCCTCCCAATTTAATTAGATGTTCATTTAGGCTTCTTCCCATCTATTCCTGGCACCGTCTGAATTATGATGGGCATGGCCTAATCACCCAAGTCCATGCCGCGTAATATGTCAACAATTGGTACGATTCTCATATTTTCTAAAATCAACAGTAGCTTATTGGCCTTCCACCCTGTTTGCCAATCATCTAATCTTTTTAGGTATTATAGTTATGTAAGTATTTTTATTGGCCATATTTCTGCATCAAATATTATAGCCGGGCGAAACCAAAATCGAAAGGTGCGACCTGTGTTATAATGGGCATATGTTTAATATGAGAATCATACCGATTTCTGACCCATTAAGTAAACATCAAATGAGGCGGGTAGACGATAGTCATCGTAGGATAGACGAGGAATATGGCTAAAGGAATAAAATTGCTCAGATAGAAGGCAAGAGGCCTAATGGAGGACTCATGAATGTAAAATAAAACAGCACAACAACCTTAAATATCATTTTAACAAAATTTGTAGGCATTTTAAGGAGTAAGTTTTTTTTAGTAACACAGTTTAACAAAATGAGCAAATTTATAAAAATAAATTGCGATAATGAAAAAGTCGCAATAAAATGATGGTATAATTTTCGATTGTGGTTGTAATAAAAAATTTAAAGCAACGTTTTTGTTTTTCCCGAAAAAAGGTTTTTTCATTCCTAGGTAGAAAAAAAACATATTTGTGCAAAAGTGGGCGTATTTGTCAAGTTCTTTGGAGAGCTTGTACTGAAAACACAAAGCCTTAACCCTTTTAAAAGAGAAAAAACGTTAAAACCTATAACAATTAATATAGAATATTTATTTTTATATTTCATAATTTTTGAGCAAAAATGACTAATTGGAGAGTAATACACTGGCTGAAAGAATCCCTAAAGTATTTTACGAGGGTAAAAATTTTTTAACGATATAACATTTTAAAGAAATTTCAATTAGAACCATATTTAGACACTAAGTTTAACATGATTCTCAAAATTGATCGAAGATTTTTGTTATCCTCATCATCACATTTAAAAAAAAATTGTAACCTTGTATTCCAACTATTTCCATATGTAAATGTGCTAAGCCACTAGCTATCGAATGAACTATTTTGAGCATTGATTTTATGTCCAAGACCATCTTTTGGAGATAATCGAACAAGGAACCATTTTCGCAGTAATCCGTCACAAGCCATAACTGGGTCCAGGTCCCGTTATCTTAAAAAACAAAATAAACCATTTATAACATATTCTCCCTAGTCATAAATTTTATCCACTTTTTTAAAAAATTCCCTTTCTTTATTTGTCTAATTCTTATTCATAACGATTTATAAACATTTAAAGAGAATTAAAACCTTTATTATCAGCTGCTATGAAGCCCAGTATATTTTCGTGCCTGAGCATGGAGGTCTGGTATATTTGAACTTCTCGAAACCAAGAATTTTCCTCGCGGGATACAAATATCTTAACGGCAACCTTTTCACCCCGCCATTTGCCTAACCAAACTACCCCGTATCGACCTTTACCTATAATTTCCACCAATTGAATAGTTCGAGCAACAGTTCTCTGAACCAAGAGAGGTAGACCTTAAAATAAATAGCAAAGAATATGAGTATAAAAAAAATAACTGATTGTGATTATAAAATAAGTTATCTCTACTGGATAAAAAAAAGGTTTTGCAACCAATTCTGAATATTGTACTAAAATGTGGTTTTGGTTTTGGCTCATTAAAACTTGATAAAAGAAGTTCTGAATTCTAGTTAACCGAATAAGGTTCAAAAAATTACCATACTTTAATTTTTGATTCTATCAATAATATGGTTCAATTATAATCGTATTTAATCAAGCAGAACCTAATTAGTAAATATCAACATATTATTGGAAATGATCTGGCTTCTTAATCGCTCCTTTTATAAAGGACGTTTAAGAGATAACATACATATTTTTTTCTCAACGAGTCATTTCTTTTTCTTCCTATAATCTGGATTTATTTTATAAAATCTTGTGGGGATAAATTTTTTTCAGGATTTTATAAAATCAAATTCAGATTATTAAAAAAAAATATGCGTTCGAAATCAATTCGATCCTTGATCATGATTCCTATTTATTTTTTTGGAAAAGATTGAGATCGTGAACAAGCTTGTCAAAATGCTGTGATTTATTCAAAATTAATAGGTTAAAACCGGGACCGGAATGCGTCAAATGTAAGAACCGAAAACTGAAATCCTACTTTAAAAAAAGTTTCGAATGAGAACCCGTTTTAGTTAAGGCCTCAAACTGATAGATAGTTTTGAGAAATCAATAAAAAAAACTATTGATATGCAGTTTTAGTTCTACCTATTCAAAGTATAGCATTAATAATTATTATCGACAAATCCCTAACCAGATCCAGAGCCGGAAGTAGTATTGTCGACTGATAATAGATTTTGCAACGATTCCGATTTCTCCCCATCATAAGCCGAATTCAAAGGGTAGTTAGATGAATGTTTGACGAGAGAAGGGGAAGATATTTCGATGGAACAACGATAACTTGAGGCCTTAGAGGCGTGAGATTTCATGTAACCGGGGTAATCTAAATCAAATGAGATAGTTTAGTAGGTTTTTTTTTAAAAAAAATTAACGATAAAAGGAAAACTCCAAACTGGATTGGATGAATACTCTTACTGAGTGATTGACTTGCTTCATGAGTCTACATCTTATAGTCATTATTCCAAATTGCTTAAAAAAGTTTCTTTATTTAATTAGTTAGAAAATATAATATTTTTTAAACTCCCTCTCCTTAACTTATATCTAAAAAAGAAATTTAGTATAAATATTATAATTTGCCTATTCTAAACTAGTCCAACCACACATTAATCTTAACATTTTTCTAAACGTAAATTCATAGATATAATTAAGTTTGGTATTCATTTAAAATATAAGTTTACGACTGAAACTATCAGCGATATATAACGCCAATTTTAATTTTGTAAGAATAAATTATTACCACTCGAGCGTCGTCTAGCCTTTCCTTTGTTGCCGCGCCCATAAAGGTTGAACCACCACCACCAACAACCACCAATAATTTTCTTGTCACTAAAAATAACCCCCCTATCGATCACTTTATTCTTCGCCGCTTCCCCAGCCCTTGCTATCGAGTTTCCATCTATTGTCGTATTGGAACAATTATAGCCTACGTTGAAATAGCGTCTGAACGCGAAGATCGCTAAAAAGACGGATAAGCAACTTACTAAAACCAGGCCTGCGATAAAAATCGGGGTATAATTTGTGCGAGTGTTATTTGATCCATTTTTTATGTTTTGGGGGTGTATAGAGTCCGCCCCTAACGGGGAAGCCGGAAATGGCAGTTTGAGCGGATCACCATTGTTGATATCGGCTAAGGACGAGGGTAAATGGTTAGAAGATAGTCGGTGGAGTTTGTTGTATTTTTTGTATAGGACAGCTTGAATAGGATAAGAAAGGGGGAAATGAGAATGGTTTAATTAAAGTTGTTAAAACATGTTTCTAAATGCATAAATGTTGCATAGGTATCTTAGTATCTAAATATATTTTGATACAATTTTATTATATATTTTTTTATTTATATTAAAAATACTTAATCCTATTTTGTATTAAATGTATTATATATATGTCAGAGTTCATTTCTTTATAATCAAATTTAAAATAAACAAGACAATTTTATTTTACATGAGGATACAAATATGACCCCCCCCCCCCCCTCATTAATATAATTGTTTGCCAGTGCAGCAGTAGATAAAACTTTTCAGTAGGCTAAAAAAAATATGTTTACGGATAAACGATCAGTGATGAAAAGTAAGCGAAAATGTTATATTATAGGTTCAATGATATTATAATAATTCAATTATACATTTTATATATCACGTATTTGGAATTCGCTATATTTTTAATTTTAAATCGTTTACTGAGGAGGACAATTTTTAAATTTTAATTGATTGGACGGCAAACGCATCCAAGCACTTGCAGATTAACCTACCCTTATAAATTTTAGACAATTTCGCCATAAATAAAAATTAGTAGTGGTTCAAAAGTTCATGGCAAAACTACAGTTTTCCAATTTCTATGTTATGATATGAACACTTTAAATTATCTTGAAAAAAAATTGAATCGATATTTTAAAGAGTATACTTGTATCTTTATACAACTTCCTTCCTTCCTTTCTCTTTCTTTCTCTCTTCTTTCATTAGTACTATCTTTTAACAATTCTGGGTTTAATTAATTATTTTTTAACGTTGGATAATCAGAGAGAGTAAACAATGCTGGCATAATTTTACAAGCTTTCCTAATAATCCAAAAATATGCTCTAACGTACGTATAGATAGTTGATAATACATATAATATAATATATAACAAAAATAAATAAACACGCAGTTAAAAAAAGATCGGCTCTGCCCTGGTTTATAAAAATGAATCCAACTTCCAAATCTGCAGTGTTATTACTAGTAGGGTAAACTACGCCACTTTCAAATTGAATATAATAATTATTTATAAATTCATAAAAATTATTTTATCATTTAAATTTGAAATGATTATATTGAGGCACAATTTATAATTTAAATAACGATATTATTATGCGAGAGGAAGATGATTTCGTTAATTGATAATATTGTTAAGGGTATTTCTTTCTCTTACCTAAAAAATTTTAGAAGTAGCATATAATTTACCAAATTAAAAAATTTTTTTTAATATATTTGCGTGCAACAAAGTTAGTGGATTTAGAAAATTATTCAGCGATAATTAGTAGCATAAATGTCTCGTCTGTTGTGGAAGCCATCGAATTTCGTTTTAATACCTCTTACTATCGAATCTCAATCAATAAGCACACTTTTCAATGCTTTTTAATGAATGACGTTAGTCTAGGTTAGTATTAATGTCCTTTGGAAACAATTGATACATTTTTTAAAATATTTGAATTGGTATAAAAAATTTTAAATAATACATGCGTATTTTTTTATAAAGTAGCGCAAAATGTCTACTAGCTATTAATGGGCGCTATTTTTTTTAGAAGGCATCTTCACCCTGCATTCACAGTTCAGGGTCAGGGTAACTAACATTCTTTTTTTTGAAGAGTAGTGCGCTATTCTCGAAAGTTGTTTCTTAACAATGCTAGTATTTTGTAAAAGTTTTATTAATGAAAATATGAGAAGCAAATGAATGTTTAAATGATTCATCGTAAGATTTTTTGGCGGATAACTTTAAAAACATATTAAATTGACCCGCCCCGATTTATAAATAATGCCATAAAGGCCAGTAGTGTTGTTAAACGGCTCGACTTGGGCACTTTTATAAAACGGATAACTCAATATTTTATCCACAAAAAATATTAAACAAGCTTAGAAAGTTTTCTCAAAGACATAAAGGTTTGGCCATTATCTCGAGACCTAGGCGATATTTTCTGCCTGCCTGTAATATTAAGCTAGGTTTTTTTAAATCGGCCCGAATCAGCCTTTTGGTAACACTAGTGGCCAGGACTGGTACGAGCTTGCATGTTGCTTAGAATGATAACATGTGTAAAATAAAAACCATTGCCCATCCATAGCGATCATTAATAATATATTTATTTAATATAATTTTTTAGATTAGAAAATGAACTCTTTTTTTTGGTGGGGTAAACGCCTTAAATTTAACGTGCCATGAATTATTAATAATTTAACAAAGAAATATTTATTAAAATAAGAAAAGAAAAAGATACAAAAAAAACTTAATAAATTTAAATATCTTTGATCTTGCGTTGAATAATTATTATATTTTTAAAAAAAAATTATAAAGCGAAATTATTAAAAGATCTGAAAAAAAAGAGAAATATCCATTTTTTTGCGATTCTTATAAGAAAAAAAAACATGTTTGGCATAAACATTGATAAGATTTAAAAAAATATATAATAAATTTGAACTAAAAACGAGCGAAGGAAAGTTATAAACGCGAAATGCTACGTGGTTTGTACTGGAACCCCTAAATTAGAAATAAAAAAAATTAATTTTTTGTAAAAATGTGGAGTGGGAAGATTTTTTTTGATTAAGTTTAAAAAAAATTGGTATCGATAATATTAGCGGATACCGGGTTGGTAAAAAGGTAATTTTGCAAAAGAACGCGTTCGTAAACAAAGTTTTTTGAAAAAAATGATGAACGAAGTTCCTTTTATTTTTGACATTTTTTTGACTAACTTTGATTTGAACGTAAACGCGTTCCCTTTTTTTTTAACGAACGCGTTCGTTTTTTAAGTTAGTTCGATTTTAGAGTATATTATTTTTATTCATTTAAAAACAAAAATATTAATGTAATATTAATTGAAATTTTTCAAAAAGAAAGGGTTATTTTTAAATTAATTGTTTCTTTTATCACATTTGAATTTTCAACCAGCCATTATTTTTGTTTTATAGTATAGTTTGTTAATCTGAATATTATTTGGCGTAATCATGGATGTTGTTATATCATTATCATCATTTGATTCTTAATTATGACCCAAATATAATAGATACTTTACAGTAACATCATATATTCAATAAAATAATTCTATCCTCACCAAATGTAAAATGTGTCCTAAAAGTATAATATCAGTTTAAGCTCTAATTTAAAGAGATACTTGATGTAATATTTATATATATATATATATAACTATAAGTATCCTGTTAATAATTTATTTTAGTATGATGTTCATTATTAAATTAATGTTTACTTTTACTATAATAGATACATATCATTAAATATTATATATTAAATATATATATACTATATACATATCGAATTTATTTATTTTTAGTGAGATTATTTGAAATTTCGCTACTATTTTTAAGTTTTTATCAAGGGTTTCATATTTTAATAGTTGAATACTATTTAAAGTATTATGAATTTATATATTAAATAATTAAATTTTTTGTGATATATAAAAGTTTTATTATAATAAAAATATTATATTCACTTCTATTAATCTTAAACATGGTTAATATATTGTGTTAAATTTATTAATATTAAATCAAATTTAAATTTTTTTTTTATAAAGGTTTAACGAATGTGAACGCGTTCCTTTTTTTTAAAGTGAACTTGAACGTGATCACGTTCGATTTTTTGTCAATGAACGTTGAACGCGTCTATCTACTGAATATCATCAGCAATATAAGATTTGCAATCTAATTTTTAATAGAATCATTTATTTTAATTAAGAATTTGAATCTTAATTTGATAGAATCTATCTTCACTTTTTGGAAATGTTTACAGCACTAGTAATAAGTGATATCCGGTGGTGAATACAGGATAGTAAAAGGTGGTATCGATGCGTCTCTGAATAGATAACCCCGAATAAATGCATACAGAGTCATGTCGTAACTCGGGGGAGGTATTCGGGACCAGTTTCTCTTAGGGAAATGTGAAAAGTTTTAGTTAAGAACTCTAAATGCTCAGGATTCAGGAATACTCAATTTTTATTTAATTTTCAATAAGAGATCTTCCCTCATATTTACTTATCAATCATTTAATCGTTATTATTGGAAGCTTTTATTTAATAAATTAGGCCTATTCAATAATGAATAAAAGTCGAATAACGAATTCTTTTATATGAATCGAATAATTTACTATTCCTAATTGACGTGTCATTGATTTTGTATTTTTTATAATCTTGACTATATCAGAGTAATTAGTAATTGTACTCACTAATAGAATAAAAAATAGTGTATTTATTATTGGTACGACAATAGTAAATTTCTTACGAATATTAATAATTCAAAGATAACTTTATTTTTTGGGAAAATGACACTTCATTATGACATGTTTATCATTTATCCTGTAAATTTAATGTTTTATATTTCGCATTGTATATAATTGTTATTTTTTTTGTAGGTTACTTGACGTATTTCGTTTTGAACGAATTTGGACCTGTAAAACGGTAATTTTTCGGACCCTAGTCGAACTTATAAAAACAAGACTGATGTAATGTTGTTATGTTTTGAGCCGATTTTTAAAACGGCTCAATGAATATTTTATCTAAAAAAATATTATGCAAACCTAAAGATTGCTCATCGATGGCACAAAGGTTTGGACATCTATTAGCTATATCTCTGAATTTGGGCTATATTTTTTCGGCTAAAATATTGAGGTAGCCGTTTATAAAAATCGGCTCAATCGAGCCATTTAATAACATTATAATTTGATGCAGAAATTGTCGCTTCGAGAGATTTTAATCATTCATAATACTAAATCTTATCGATCATTCATAACAAGAAAGTAATAAAGCAATTTGTCTCAAAACAGATAAGAAATTTTGTTTTTTTTTAAAAAAGAAAAAAATATATATTTATTTTTTGCCTTCCCAACTGAATACTGTTTTTTTTATAAATCTCCCCCATCGGTATGTAATAAGATTAGCACTCTATAAAAGATTAGAGGAGACTGCGTTCTAGCTCTTCTTAATTTAGGTCTTAATTCTGAATAGAAATATTTGAAATAAACAACTATCACACAAGAGGGCTGCAATGGGCGGGTTTTAACCGGAAAACCCGCTCTCCTATTAATTTCACAAGATTTAACTAACTCGCCCGTCGTGTTTTTTTCAAAAATTTACCTCCGCCCAGCCCAATGTTTAAAAATTATTTAATTGATTGGTTTGGCTCGTTATTTAATTTATATTTAAATATTACTTAAACTTAAAAAAAATATGCAATATTATCAAATAAAAAAATGATTGCCCTTAAAAATATTTTAAATTTACCCGTTCGTTGTTTAAAAATGTTTTTCTAACCCGCCTGTTCACCCGCCCGATGTTTAAAATTTTTTAGCCCGACCGCTTTCTTTTTTTAGTTTCTTTTTGATACATCTATTTTTACATAAAGTGATGAAATACCTTTAAAAATATACGTTAAAAATTTATTCTTATTATTTTTTAATCTAAAAATCATATTCCGTTAAGATAAAAATACGCTTAATGGTGTATATTTTATTATTTTTTTAGTCTAAAAATCACATTCTATTCAGATAGTTATTTAGAATTCCAAAATGGAAAAAAAAGAAAAAACAGTATTGGACACAGAGTTAATCTAACAAAAAATAGGCTCTAAAAAAATGAGATATTTTATCCTTCCTCCCGAAAAATAAAAATAAACCAGGTGTTAAGTTCATTAGCACTCACTCGAGTTTCAAAAAAAAATATGCTTTTTTCTATCCTTTTTTTTAAAAAAAAGATGATAAAATGTAAATAATGTGAGCAAATAATTATTCGAAAATTTTAAGATCAGTTTTAATCAGGTGCTCATTTTTACACGTGATTTTTTATTTGAGATAAAATAAAATTAGAATGCCGTATTGGAATATGGAATCCGTGGAAGTGCAATATCTATCAATTTAAAAAAAATACAGCTGATCTTTTTAAAGTTTTTGGGGATCCAGAAATTTAAAATGTCATTATAAAGCAGATTTTATATTTAAAAAAATTATGGTGATATATTAAATACCCGATTTAGGATCGGATTTGAAGGTCGGAAACGTGGGATTTAGGTATTGATTGCACAAATCACTGTGACTGCAGCATTGGATTCCAAAATTCGTGTTGATTGGAGATGAGTGGCATATAAACGGGTTATCAGGCGGCGAAAGATATTGTTTATCCATGCATCTTATTATGTTTAAAATATATGTCGCGATTAAATTTCAGCGGTTATTGTCGAGATTGTTAACATCATAATTTATTTATATTAAAGTTAAAAATGAAAACAATAGATTAAATTGAGTTGTTAATACTGGTTAAACATTTATCAATAATTTGATAAATTTTATACTATTGATGTTATTATATTATAAGTAAATAACCCGTCGAGAATGACGGGGTTGAGGGATAATTAGTTTGACTAATACTTAATTAATAAATTTTATAAATAATATTAAAATTTAGGCGAAAAAGAGGAAAATTTGTGAATCACACCTCATAAGATATTCTTAATTTCTGATTTATCTATTATCGAATAAGGAAGAAAAGTGTGATGACCTGTCTTTCTTGAAGGGCAAAATGAAAAATATATAACTGAGAATAAGCTTAGTCAGTATTGCTGAGACCGTCAAAAATGACGGGGAATGAGAATTTTCTCCTTACTCTTATGATAGTTATTACCTGTTATTTAAAAATAATATCGAATTTTTATTCTATATAACCCCCTCCCACCTTCAGGTTAAGTTCAATCCATTAAAACTAAGTTTAAATGCTATGTTTTGAGTCAAAATAATTTTAAAGCTTTTACTTGACACCCATATCAATATTACTTGTTAAAATATTACCGATTATCTATGCCTATTATTTAATATTGAAAAAATTCACAAGCAAGGTCCAAGGCCATAATAATTTTGAAAAAATTTCCCCAACCCCAACCAAAGATAATAATAATTTTGGTAGTTGAGAACTAGAATAAAATATTTAAAAAAATCATAATGAATTTAAAAATACAATCAAAATCAGATTATGGGCATTGGTTTATTTGCTTTTTAGGTCAATATCTGATCCATAGTTAACAATAAAAAAATTCCCAAGCGTCCAAGCTGATAATAATTTGAAAAATTTTCTCCAAGCACAATATAATTTATAAAAATAATTTCCAAGCCCAGCCCGACCCATAATAATTTTAAAAATTTTTTCTTAAACCTGGCCAACCGATAATTTTGAAATTGTTTTCCCAAGCCTGGAGCTTCTAATAAAAAAGATAAATATTGATATATTTAAATTACTTTATCATAATATAATTTCAAATATAAGAAGAATTATATAACGGGGGTGACTGGAAAGAACGTTTGTCTAACGAACGTTAAGTCAGTGATTTGAATCTCGTTGAAAAATTTTTTTTAAGTTTTCTTTTTTAATAAAAAAAATTTAACATTAGAGATATATAGTCTCCTTCGATTTATTTAACTTTAAGATGATAGGCAAGTTGATACCAAAAATTAACATTAAGGTTATACGAAAAAGTTCATTTCTTGATTACGGCGACTATATATATTAGATACGCCTAATGTTTGGTAAAACTAAGATATATAATTTTATGTAAATTGATTTGTCAATATAGATTGGATTTATATATATATCCTTAAAAAATCCAAAATATTAATAAAATAACTCAAATTAAATCCGATGCAAGGTTAACCATCCTATTGAAATAAATAGAAACTTAATTTTTTAAATTGCTCCCCTGTAAAATTACCAAACGTGAAGATAGAATATTCTATTTCCCAGACGACAATGTATATTAACATCGTAACGTTTAATAAAACGACAATTATGTTCAAATTATTTTGGTGTTAGTTTTTCTTCATTTTTTAAATAAAAGTTTTATAAAATAATTTTGTTTCATAAATAAAATGATTATTTATTAAAGTAAATCGAACCCCTTATTTATTACCCTGCATTCAGTGTAGCGAACTTTGTATACTTCGCCGAGAATTCGCGATAACTGTGAAAGGGTTAGTTGTAATGGAAAGGGTGAAGGAGGGGGTGAGGATATATAAAAAGTCTCTACTAACCGTTAACTTATTCTAAAAAATGTTATTTAGAACCATAAATCCACGGTTTAACATTATTTCCGGATCTAATGTAAGGTCAAAGGAACCCGGGTACAAACGAAAAATCGTAATATAAATTTGCACTAAAAAAAGAATCATCTTTTTATAGAATTGGTTTTTTTTTCCAAAATATTTATCAATAATTTAATCGATAAATTAAAAAAATATATATAGATAACATAATGGGATTTTGGATTTGTATGATAAGATGATTTAGATGGGACTTTGAATTTTGAAATGAACCTTTTGTCGATTGATTATTAAAGGGTTCTAACCCCATTTTTGGGTAAAATGGTATCCTAGAGAGGCATCTCTTCTGCCTATTGAAATAATCAACCCGCTAATGCTTAACTCTATGGTATAGTGGACGTTTCCCGGTGGAACAAAAATTTTAAACATTAGCGGAAAGCGTTAAACCGAGGAAATATGAACCATTTTTTCCTTCTTATTTGATTCGCTTCCCATTTTGTGATACTTCTATTATTGATGTATAGTGTTAAGTAGATATATACACCGGACCACGATCTTCCCTCTTTAAATTAGGCCGAATTTTTTAAAAAATCCAATTTTTGACCGGTTGTTTATATATACTAAAGTATATTTTGTTCATATTTGTAGTATTTTCGACAGATATTTTTGTATTACCGACAACATATATTAGTAGTAATTTAGCCAAATAATATATTTCCTTTATTGTATTTTGTCATAAAATCCCATTATTTTTGTGTACGTAAATTTACAAGATAATGCCAAAAAATCATCTAGGTATAATTTTTAGTAGTATTTGGGTGGAACTTTATTCATTTTCTGCCCCGGGTGTATTTCGGTAATAGTAGAGAAAAAGGGTTTAACTGGTTTCTAAATCCCCAAGTTTCATTTATGCTCTGTTTAAAAGTTCGAACTAAACGTTCGGCCATGCCGTTAGTCTGAGGATGGTATGACTTCCGTTTTTTCGCAAAAATCATTGAATTTTTTACTGCTGAATTGTGGCCCGTTATCAGAAACGAATATCTTAGGAAATCCGAATCTAATATTTTTATCGTGCTTTCAGTGATTGTACTAGTCATGGGAACTATTTCTGGCCACCGAATGCTAGCATCTATCATTACGAACTAATAATGATTTGGGTCCAGCATAATCAATGTGTACCCGGTTACTTCGGTGGTTTTGGCCAATTTTGAATTATTGTCTTATGAGACATGTCGTGTTGTTCCTGACATTCTCTAAATTTTTTCGACCCATGTTTCTATATCTTGATTTATATTAGACAACCATGAGTATTGTCCTCTCATCTTCATTTTTACCATTCCAATATATCCGATGTATCATGCTTAACACGTTGTTTAGGCATTGTTGTGGTATTATCATTTTAGTTCTCTTCTTTCAATTTCGTTTGCATTCATAGTTGATTGTTCCCATTTATATGATCGAGTATTTCTTCTTTTGATATTGTAATTCACTGTATAGATATCCAGATAGAATAAAAGTATTAGCTATTTGTCGACTACTTTTGAATTCTATTTCATATTAGTAACTTGCTAATAATAAAGCCCATATTTGTATTATGACAGTGGATGTTGTTGGTATATCTGTTCTTGGATGAAATAAACTCATTAATGGCTTGAGGTCTGTTTGTAATGTGAACTTTTTTTCATATATAAATTCTTTAACTTTTGTAACCCCAAATATGATGGCAAGAGCTTTTCTTTCTATTTGGCTACAATTTTTCTCTGCTGCATTAAGCGTTCTTGAGGCGAATGCAATTGGTCTCTTACCCCCTTTATATGAGATATTACAGCCACAATTCCTATGGCTGACACATCTGTTGCTAGTATATTGGGTAATTTTGGATTATAATGTAATATTGGAGTACTACATATTTCTTGCTTTATTTTTTTATAGACATCTTTGCTTTCATTTGTCCATATCCAAACTACTACTTTTTCTATTAATTTGTAAAAAGATTAGGCTTTGTCTGCAAAATTTGAAATAAATTTTGGATAATGTTGCTAACCCTAGAAATGCTCTAATTGTTTTGAGTTTGTTGGTTCTGGTGCTTTTTTTATTGCCTCAGTATTTTTTTCCTGTAGTTATAATCTAGTTTTTTGATATTTTGTGTCCTAAGTACTCGACATTTTGTTTGAAAAATTTACAATTTTCTATCTTTAGCATGATAACATTTTTGTCTAGACATTTTAGTACCTTTTTTAAATTTGTTTGGTGTTTCTCTCTATTTTTTACGGTCTAAATAACAAGCTAGTCCTTCAAAACCTTTTAATAAATTCGATGGCCCTTTGAAATATTGCTGGAGAAGACGATATACCAAAAAGGTAGTCTTGTATATAAAAATAATCTTATATGCGTATTGATTACAATATATTTTTATGAATCTTAATCCACTTTAATTTAAAAACAGGCATCTGAGAGATCCAATATTGAAAATCTCCTTTTCCCAAAGTGGCTGGGTATGAATCAATATTAATATATTGATTTATCGTTCTCTTAAATCCCCGTAAATTCGTAATGTTTTATCTTTCTTTTGAACAATTACTATGTGGGTGATGTATAAAGTGAATGATTAATTTTTTCTATTACTCCTATTTTTAGCAATCTATCTAAATCTTTTTTAAATTTTTCGTTTAATGAGTATAATGCGGGACGTGATTTACAGAAATTTGATTTCTCGTTTTCCATATATATTTGTGCCTTTTCCAATAGCCCAATTTATTTATTTATATGGCCCTTTCAGGTATTTCAGTCATTTTTGGAAATTTAGTTATCCAGTTTCTTCCAATTAGATTTTTTGTATATTCTTTTGTAATTAATAGGTAGTTCTAATGTTCGTCCTTTATATTTTACTTTTACTATAGTCTCTAGCAGTGGTATATTGGTACCTGTATAGATTTAAATTTTAGCATGCAATTTGTTAATCCAGGGCGATTAAGTTCCAATCTATTTCGTTTATTATGCTTACCTCAGCCCCAGTATCTAACTCCCTAATATCGCTATTCCTTTGATATCCACCCAAAATTATGGATTGTACTCATTTGTTGTATTATAAATAAAATCACTATTTCTTCTCTACAGACTCGAGCAATGTGTTCAATATTATTGAAAGGACAATTTTCCCTTCTATGATTTACGCCGCAGAAATGGCAGGGATATGGTTTCTTGTAGCTCGAATTATAGTTATTATATTGTTTTGATTGTTTATTATTATCATTATTATCTTTTATAGTTATATTTATATTATCATGTTTATCTTCTAACTGATCAATTGTAGTTTCATCTTTTTGTATTAATTTTGTGTTCTCTATAAATGTCTCTATCGCAGTAAATATTTGAATAGCCTTATTTATATCTAAATTATCCTTGTATAATTTGTAATATTTTAGGAATTTTTAGTCCAAATGAATTTATCTCTTAAAGCAATATTCAAATATTCTCCAAATTCATAAGTCATTGATAATTTTCGAAGATTCTTTATATAATCTATTAAATTTTCCTCATTTTTTGATTATATTGATAAAAATTATCTCTCTATAATTTTATTACGTTTGGGATGAAATGTTTGTTTAAATTCTTTAAATAAGTCGTATCAATCTTTGTAACACATGTTCGAATCCGTTTTTTTATCAACTGCGCCATTTTTGAAATATATTTAGTTCATATTTGTAGTATTTTCGATAAATATTTTTGTATTACCGTTAACATATATTAGTAGTAATTTAGCTAAATAATATAGTTCTTTTATTGTATTTTATCATAGAATCCCATTATTTTTGTGTATGCAAATTCAAAAGATATATTAACGATTTTTAACAAACAAAATAATTTCGTTATTATAAAAGGTAAAAAAATCATCTGTATATGATTAAAACATTGAATACACTGTGTCGATTATTTATTTATTCTACTGTTGAGGATAGACTTGCTAAACAGCTCTATTTCGCGCATTTTAATGCAAGCATGAAGATTTTGTTCATAGAAAGATCAAAGGTCGTCATATATTATCGAAATCTCGAGGCTTAGGCAATATTTTTCTGGCGAAAATATTGAGTTAGCCGTTTTTAAAAATCGGCTTAAAACGAGCCGTTTAACAACACTAATATTTGGGCTAAAATAGACCATTTTTTAGAATATCGAGTCGTTTAACAATACTAGTTGAAGATTTACTAATAAATTTAAATATATCTTATTATAGTATCTCTCTCGACATAGAAGATTTGCGTTGTAGGTCTTTACCCCACAAATTTTATTTTATGTGAAAAGAGGTTATAAACATTTTTTTTATCAGATATAGTATCGGCCAACCCGGCACGGTAATTAAAATTTAGAATTGAATTAAGTATGAAAAAATTTAATCCTAAACATCTCTATACTATTTAAGCCACCCTTTTTATTTTTAAGTAGTGAAGGTCGTGATTCGGTTAGGCCACTTTTCAAACCCGGAACAATGGACCATAATATAAAGATCTAACCAGGAGGTGGCATGCCCGATCGATTTTTATTTTGCATCATTCATTATTATAAAAATTAATATATTATTTATTCGTTGAATGCAAAAATATTTTTTAAAAAAACACCAACTCCCCTTAATATTAGCTATAAAAAATTTCTCAAATATTATATTTTAAAGTCATAACGCAATATAAATATTATATCGACGTTACTCAAAAAATTATCATCGTTAAATTTCATGTTGCTCTGTAAAAAATTGTAATGCATTTACTTTGATCTTTTTTTTAAAAAAGTATAAGATTTGATATTTTTGAAATTACTTTAGAAACTAACTATATTAATTTTAAATATTAAAATTTTAGAAAAAAAATATTATGAGAAATTTGTAAAATTTCAAAAATAAAATAAAATTGCTTCATATATTTGAGTTCAAAAAATATATTGAAAGAGCTATTTTGATTATTATTATTACATTGAAAAAAAAATTGTAAAAAGATCACTTTTTTTATTTATTTGTTAATTTTAATTTATGTTAAGGAAATAAATTAAGAGAATAAGAATATTACTGAAAATTAATTATAGGGTATCACCATCATAGGCGATACTCTTAAATTGAATAAATTTGATATTTTTAAAATGAATAAATTTGATATTTTTAAATATTGAATCTAAGTAAAATTTTCATAATTATATCTGGAGAAGTCATATTACAATAAAGTGTTGTTTATTCTTTTTTATTCGACTTATGATAATTATATGGATGCAACTTTGCAGAAACAGAGTTTTGAATAAAATATGTGATTATTTTAAAAAAACCAGTTCATATATCCACTTTTTATATAGTAACAATTTGAAAACCAATATGCCAGTCAGGGGTTAATTTAATTTGATTTCAACAATAAAATATTTACAAAATGTATCTAAAAGGTATGCTAGTATTTACAAAAATAAGCTTCCCTTGACTAAACAAACGTTCTACAGAGCAGTAGATGTAAGTAAAATAAGACATTATATTAAATAGTAGTTTGAAAATTGGGAAATCATCAAAAATAAAAATAATGAATGAGATATATATAAATATTTAACATATTCTAAAAGGTAATTACTTATTTTGTCATATAAAAACATATCTAGTTTAGTTATATTGTTTTATTTTTTGCAAAAATAAAATTAGTTATCTGTAGCTAGTTGCTTTAACTGACACTACTGATTACCTAATGTGTCCTTCAATAATTTATGCTACAAATAAATATTTATAAAAATTAAAATAATATGGCTAAAAAAGTAAAGATCGCATTATATTTTAATACCTTAGTTTAATGCTACAAAAGGCTTTGTTATTAAATGTTATAAAATAATGAAAAGTTTGTTAACAAAAAAAATAAAGGGGGTGCCTAAATTATTGAAGGATAATAAATAGATAAATAAAACATAAAAATTTACCATTAATGTATAATAGTGCAACCTAATTAATGTTTGTTTTATTATTTAAAACATACAGTGCATTTTAAATAGTGTTGTGAAAATTGAAAAACAATTTATAAATGTTGATAAAAATGCAGGCAGATTTTTTTTTGAAAACACTTAATTAAGTCATATCATGAGTCTAACAAAAAAATTATTTTTGTTTATCCCTTGTAAGATATACTGAATATAATGTTTAATTAATTTAACATTTAATTAATAACTAATTAGTTAAAATATAAAAAATGGCATATTTGACACTATAACCATTTATTTCTTGGAGAACATAAAAGCAATTAACATTTATGATCTAATTATAACATTTATAATGTTCACATAAATTTTTAAAACAATTGATAAGCTCAACTAAAAAAGATTTGTTGTGGATTTGATGGTATGCCATATAAAAAGCTATTAAAATTGGAAATTATGAATCTATAATATGTAACAGTGGGGTTAATAAAAGATTGCATAAAGTCAATAAAACAACTTATGTTTATATTTGTAATGTTAAAATGCCTATTGTAAAAATACTTACGTGTATAATTTTTTGACCAGTCCTTTTTCATCCTTTTGAATTGAGGCGTAACATGTTCCATCAGTTTCACATGTATTATTTTTTTTATCAGTACAGATATTACAGAAGCAAATGAGAGCTATAAAAATTTTGATAGCATAAATGCAAATGATATATTAGTAAACAATTAAAATATTGCCATTTATTAATAATATATTACTAGATGAGGATGTAGGATATGTTATAAGGAATAGTAAAAATGTAGATATCTGTCTATTCAACATTTATAAGCATTATAAATATTTTTTTAAAAATTTAATTTAATGCATTAATACACCACGAGAAAAATTAATCGATTATTTTTTTAGGAAAATATGTTCATTCAATATATCTCTTTATCCATGAAAGGAAAAGCTATCGACTTCAAAGAAATAATTTGCTATATACTAACTAGTAGTACTAAATAGAATTTTTTTCCCCTTTTCATACAATTTTTTTTTTATTCAGGCGGAGTCTTTATAGCATAGAAGTAGTGTTGATGGTAGAAAGGTTTGGACCTCTATTTTCCAAATCTCGATTCTTACATAACATTTAGGCTAAGTCGTATTCGGACAGATTTAAAAATCGACCAAAATCGTGCCGTTTAAGATAGAGAAGTAAAAGTTTTATTTTTTAATTTTTTTATTTTCATTATTATCATTATTTTTACATTATCGACAAAAATAATTTGTCCAATAAATCGAACCAGTTCTCAATACTACCACACTCCAGGCTAATTCCTATAGAAATATTATATAAAAATAAATACAATTGACCCATTAATATTTTGAACATCAAATTTATTTAAAAATGTTTGCAATTTCCTATAGAATTTTTTTAAGTTCATTATTTAAAATATAGAGTGAAGTTAGCAACCAGCAAGTAGTGAAGATAAATGGCTCCATTTATAGCAGAGTTTAAACAAAGTAAATCAAATTTTTAAGCGAAAACTATCATCTTAGCCTTGATAGATTTAAATTAAAAGTATTGTTCAATCTTGGAAAAAAAAATCAACTCTCAATGTGAAGAATTTCTATAAATGATTAATTTGTAATTTGATATTTCCAAAGAGGTGAGTAGCTTGTTGTTAAGGTATTAATATATTTTGAAAGAAATAATAAATGAGATATGTTTTATGAGATTCTTCGGTATAGTGTTGTTGAATGGCCCGATTTGGGTGGATTTTTAAAAATGGGCCTGTTAAGATTTTGGCCAAAATAATAATATGTAAGTCTCAAGATTTGGTAAATAGAGGTCCAAATCATTCTGCAATATAGGAGCATAATCTCAAATCTTGCATATTATCATTTTAACGAAAATCCTAATCGAGCTGTTAGTAAAGTTTGACAACATTACCTTGGTGTCCTATTGCTATTGATAATTGTTTAGAATCAAATAGCATTACGAATAATTCATTTTAAGTCTATATTTAATAACAAAAATTATGACTTCGAAAAAAAGAACTTTTTATTTTTTTTAATTTGTTTATAAAAATTATTATTAAAATTCTTTATTATAAATTTTTATGTAGTTTTTATTTTTATTAATGATTAATTTATAGTAATTAATTTTATTTTCATATTAATAAATAAATAATAAAATAAATTCATATTTATTTTTAGTTATTTTAACGAAGGTAGAACCATATTTACATTTATTTATTTCTATAATTCATTCAAAATAAGTATCAGTTTTCATTGACATTTTATTCAGTATAATTTAACCATAAGGTGCCTTAATTACAAATGGCTATATTTACACCTTAATGGATGGGTGTGTACATAATACATTAGGATGTTAAACAACATCCATTTTATTAATCGTAAATATATATATATATATAGTCATATCTAACTGGCAAATATAATATATAATATGATAAAATATTACAATAGATTACTTCTTTACTACATTTCCCCCAACGTTAATTGAGAGATGTCTATATCTCTTCAATCATTTGTTTCGGGGGCTTATGTGTCCGCCCTCGTCTTGGGGTCTCACACTCTCTCTGATCGTTGTCAGCGATCACGCGCTCCGTCGTATCTGATATCAAACGGTCCCTTAGCTGGTCAGCATGTTTTCGTATTACACGATCTGGGGTCTTGACTACATAGGAATATAATCCCTTTTTATCCTGAATTACCACTTCTCTCCAATCCTTAGTGGTTTCATTCCTTACCCACACATGCTGATCAACGTCAAATTCCCTAAAATTGGAATGTGCATCACGTTCTTGATTTTGTTTATCATTGGCTTTATCGATCTCCTTTCCCACCTCTGGTCCAGCCCAGTCTAGATTAGTTCTTATTTGACGACCGAACATAATCTTCGCTGGTGACCTACCCGTCGAACTATGTTATCCCAGCCTATACGCTGCTACCGTTTGAGTCATCGCCTCTTGCGGGTCATTAATTGATTCTCGACTGGCATAATTCCCTTTTAAGGTTCGAATGGTTCGTTCCGCCCGCCCATTTGTCTTCGGGTGGTACAGCGTTGAGCGAATGTGGCAAATGTTCTTCACAAAATCGCTTAAATTCTATTGAAATAAATTGAGGTCCATTATCCGTTACAATGCTTTTAGCTACGCCAAAGGTAGCAAACAACTTCTTTAATCTCGTTATCATCTCCTTCACCGATGTATTTCTCATCAGGTCTACCTCAGCCCATTTTGAGTATGAATCTACTCCCACTAGCCAATATAAAGAGTCAACCGGGCCCGCAAAATCTAGATGTATACGCTCCCATGGCTCTTTGGTACAATTCCATGAGTATAGTGGTAACTCCATTACGTTCGGTCGATTTTTCTGACATCCAACACACAGCTTTATATACAGTTCTATGTCCTCTTCGCATTTCGGCCACCAACAATACAACCGAAAAATAGACTTCATCGCGTTCATTCCCGAATGTTCCTGATGTAGTGTTTCCAACACTGAATTCCTAAGTTTCGTAGGGATTATCAATCTACCATTTCGTTCAACTATTCTCCTATCTACTGTTAATTCCTCTCGTTGGGTGTGAAAGATTACTAGCTTCGGTTCTTCTTTCCTATTATGCCTCTCCACCCTTGCTCAATATGTTGTGCCTCTCGCTTTAGTATTGGATCTTTAATTGAATTCTTGCACAGGTTTCCCTCTGAGACCTGCATATCCTCTAAGTTTACGTTCCGAATCGCCAATGCATGCTTGGTAACCTGATTAGGTATGATATCGTGGAGCGGTAGTCTAGATAAGGCGTCTGCTATAACATTCTCACGACCAGATCTATATTCCACGCTAAAGTGGTAAGCGACCATCTTCCAGGCGCAACGTGCCAGACGATTGTTCGATATCTTTGGCAGATCCCTCTTTTCCCCAAACAACCGTTCCAAGGGTTTATGGTCTGTCCGAAGTATAAAATTTTTCTATTCCAAATAACAATGCCCTCGCTTCTTTATCGATAGGCGCATAATGTTTCTCCGACTGTAACAACGTCCGAGACGCGAATGATGGGTTTTTCCCCGTTTTGTGAAACCTTATGAAGTAAAACAGCCCCCAGTCCTGTATCTGATGCGTCACACTCCATAATCAACGGTATTTTAGCATTATACGGCGTTCAGGTTTCTTCTGCTGATAACAATGTCTTAACTATATCGAAAGCCTCCTGCTCTACATTAGTCCAACACCATGGTACTTTTACACTAATCAATCGATGTAACACAGCTGCTTCACTATGAAGATTGGGAATGAACCGTTCATGATACGTGATAAGCCCAAGAAAACGTAACTAATAAATATTCTTGGGGTTAGGTGCGGCCTAAATTGCTTTAACTTTCTCTTCGCTTGGGTGTACCCCATTTTGGTCAATAACGATACCTAAAAACGAAACAGTTCTCCGTATAAATTGGACTTTTTCAAATTTAACTTTGAGGCCTGCTTCCTGCAGCCCATCGAGTACTATTTTTAAATTAGCCAGATGTTCGGCGTCATTTTTGCCAGAGATAATAACATCTTCCAAATATACTTCAGTCATCGGGCAATCTTTCAAAACATTGTGCATACGCTGAAAAATAGTTGGTGCGCACGAAAGCCCAAACGGCATCCTTCGGTATCGAAAATATCCTTTATGTGTTGAGATGACCAAATATTCTTGGGACTCTGGCACAACGGCCATTTGTAGATACGCGTCGTTTAAATCTATCACCATAAAACGGTCCCCCCTCTGAATCTTAACCAATAAGTCATCCAGCGTAGGAATAACGTGATGATCATATAATAGATGGGGATTTAAACTCACCTTGAAATCTGCGCAAATACGAATCTCGCCATTGTTTTTCCTGACATTTACTGTTGGGGTTACCCATGGCACCCTAGTTATAGAGGAATCGATGGGCTCCAAAATTCCGCAGCCACAAGGCGATCCAGTTCTAGTTCAACCGCTGTGCGTAATGGAAATGGCACTCGACGAGCTGGAAACAATTTTGGAACAGCCGTATCTTTTAATAGGAGTCACACCGCAAAATTACGTATCAACCCCGGTTTGACGTCAAAAACAGCTTTAAACTGTTTAGCTAACAAATGCCCTATTGAGTCTTCCGTTAGTGACATCCTCGATCCTGTGAGCATCGATTGTATTTGAACGGCCCATCGGGGCTTCGACCAGCGGGGGCACCGATTGTATTCGAAGGCCCATCGGGGCATCTTTGGTTTGGTGGCAACTTGATGTTATTGTTTTTCTATTCGTTTTGAGAACCTGTTGTATGCTTACCTGTCTCGGTAACTCAAACCCAAATGCTAAAATTCATGGCAACCCAAACAGAGGTAGGTCATTTGACTTTATTATAATAACTGATATATTGCGAATTTTTTTCCTCAGTTGCATACAAACCATGGCTTCACCCATAAGATCCAAAGGCTTATCTCCATAGGCTGCTAATGGGTTTGTGGAAGATGTTAGTGGTTTGCCAATTTTCTCCCAAATATTCAATCCTATAATAGAGGCTTGTGCTCCTGTATCATAATCAAAAGTGACACTAAGTCCATTTATTTTGGCTGTGATCTTTGCCCTTTTATTTAATCCCCTTGTCTAGAGATTATTAATTGAATCACTTGAGTGAAAATGTGGTTTCACTGAGTTTAAATTGCGATATACAGGCTTACTATGGCAACATGCTGCGAAATGTCCGGTTCTTTGGAACTTAAAACATGTTTTGTCTTTAGCTGGGCATAAATATCTTTCATGCAGCACAATTCTTAGATTTATTATTGTAAAACTTGTTATTAGGCTTCCTATAATTATTGTCTCTCTTAACACACT